CACTGGCTTCCTAGCTGTTCCTTGATTTCAGGCATTCTCCCACCTCGAGCCTGTGGTTCCCTGTTTCTAGTGTGGCCCTTCTCCAAATATCTGCCTGGCTCATCCTTGCACTTTTGAGGCTTTCCCAGACCATCCCCCTTAAAACAGTAATCTCCTAGACTTCCCTGGTGGTCCAGGGCAGGTCTGCCAATGCAGGGGACACAGGTCGATCCCTGCTCTGGGAAGATCCCACATGCCTCAGGACGACTACTCCTGTGTGCTACAACTACTAAAGCTCATGCTCCAGAGCCCGTGCTCCACAAGAGAAAAGCCTCACAGCACAACTAGAGAGTAGCCCCTGATCGCTGCAACAAGAGAAAGCCCTTTGCACAACAATGAAAACCCAGTGCAGCCAAAAATAAATAAGTAAAAATAAAAAATAAATACATATAAAGAACTATCTTATTTAAAAAAACCCAAAACAATAACCTCCTACCTTGCCCCCCTGCACCCCCAGTTTCTTATTTTTCTCCATAGCATTTATCACCTCTAACAGGCTTTCAACTTTACTTGCTGATTTCTTTTTCTTTTTCCACAAATGAATGATCCTAGAGGACAGAATTTTGGTCTCTGTTCTCTGCTGGATTACCCAAGAGAGCCTAGAATGGTGTTCAATATATATAATGAAAGTGAAAGTCTTAATCACTCAGAAGAGTTGTGTCCGACTCTTCTGCGACTCCATGGACAGAGGGGCCTGTCCATGGAATTCTCCAGGCACGAATACTGGAGTGGGTATTATACTGCTCCAGGGGAATCTTCCTGACCCAGGGATCAAACTCAGGTCTCCCGCATTGCAGGCAGATTCTTTACCATCTGAGCCACCAGGGAAGAGCCAATACACATAAGAGAAGCCTGCAATAAGGGGCCCAGAATAATATAATTTGCATGTCAATTGACTGGCCCAGGGCTCATTCGCAAGTGACTACAGGACGGTCAGTTTCACAGGGTGGGGTGTTCTGGGCCCTGCCTCTGGGCGTTAGGGCTGTGGCGGGCTCGGTGGGAGCAGGGGTGGGCGGGGCTGTGGGCTCACAGGATGCAGGCCATCTCCTGGTGCAGGTCTTGCAGGGACTGAAGCAGGCTGGGCATCATGAGCTGGTGGTGGTGCTGGTGATGCAGCTGTGCCGCCCGCACGCCCAGCACATAGCGGTTGTGGTGAGCAAAGAGCTTCCACAGGCTGCGCACATACTTGTCCTTGGCCTTGTCACGGTCCTTGTCTGCCAGAGCGGGGGAAGGAGGTGAGGGTTACCCAGAGCAGAGGCCTAGGTGGCGCCTGCCACCCCCGTGATGCCTGTGGACGGGCCTGGGCGGAATCCCCACGCTTGTCAGGGAGGGAAGCCTCGGACCTTTGCCGGCCTCCTGGTACTTGCGCCGGGCCTGAGCGCTGTCCCGTGCCAGGGCTCGGTATTGGCTCTTCAGCTTCTCAATGTCCTGGCTGTGACTCTGGGGAGAGAGGAGGGACCGGTGTGGTTCAGCAGGTCCCTGGAGGATTCCTACTCAAGGTGCAGCCCTGGACGGGGCCTGTGGTCCCGGTGGGCAAGTGCTCCAAGCCCATCCTTCAGGAAGGACCTGGAGACCCCTGGGACTTAGCCGTTGTTGCTGAGGTTAAGGTCAGAGGAGGACAGGGAAGGACAGGGAAGCTCTGGGGGTGGCAGAGAGCTGGACTGGGCAGGTGACAACTGTCCCTCCTTGGCCTACAGAGGGTGGTATCAGGTGGCAGGTGTGTGTGTGGGCTGTGCAGAGCTCCACGCTTAGAAGGACCTGTGCTTGGCTGAACGCCATTGATGCCATCTTGAAATTCTTAATAATTTGTTGACAAGGAGCCCTGTGTTTTCCTTTTGTACTGGGTCCCCAATTATGTTCCTGGTGGCAGGAACAACAGATGGTCAAGACTGGATGAAGACCCCAGTTCCCTGCTGATGCGCTGGGATACTCAGAACAAACTCCTCCTCTCTCCTCTGAACCTCAGCTTGCTCATCTGCCACAGAGCGAAGTGCACAGACTAGATCAGCCTTTTCCTTCAGGGCCAGAGCGGGAACATTTTAGGCTTATAGGCCATGCAGTCTCTGTTAAAATTGCTCAGCTCTGCCATTTTAGCTCTTCAGTGCTGTTGTTTAGTCGCTAAGTCATGTCCGACTCTTCTGTGACTCCCATGGACTGTAACCTGCCAGGCTCATTCTGTCCATGGGATTCTCCAGGCAAGAATACTGGAGGGGGTTGCCATTCCCTTCTCCAGGGGATCTTCCCAACCCAGAGATCCCATCCGTGTCTCCTGCATTGGCAGGCGGATTCTCTACCACTGAACCACCAGGGAAGCCCTAGATCTTCAGTAGCCATAGTATGACAAACATATGGGCAAGTCTGTGCTCTGCTTACACTGCCTGCCTACAAACACCTGAATTAGGTGATCTCCTGGAGAGAGGGACGAGTGGGTGAAGACTGGCCACCAGGGGCCGCTGTGGGGCTGCTGCAAGGCTGAGGTTTGCCCTGGGAGAAGGGGTGTGGTACAGAAGGTTGCCCAGCACATTGAAGGCTAAAGCCTCCACGTAAATAGCTCCTATCAAACAGCCTCTAGACCGAGGAGCTGGGCAGGATTCAAATGTGGGCAGGCTCACTTCACAGTCCCAGTCCTTAACCTCCGAGTCAGGGGACCACGCTGCTGCCTCGTGGAGTCTCTGGGTCCCAGGGAGGAGTGAGCCTTGGGCCATGCGCCATCCCTCTCTCCCTCTCTCTCAAGGGCCAGCTGGTGCAGTGCAGGAGATGGGCACACACAGGCACACAGTGGGGTGACAGAAAAAAGCACAGAGGGGCCACCCACCAAAGGCCAGTCCTAGCTGCGGCAGGAAGGAGGGAAAGAAGCTGGAGCAGGCTCTGGGGGCCAGTCAGACACTTCCACTTCTTCAGGGAATCCAGGGGTTCCTTGCAAAACCAGCCCTCTGAGGCTCAAAATGTAGGCAGGGAGGACAGAAGCCCACCCACCTTGGTGAGCTCCTGCTGCAGCTGCTGCCACTGCTCATTGTAGGTTTTGCGCAGTTGCTGACGTTCCCGGATCAGCAGGCTCAACTTGCTCAGGGGCCCTGAGTTCAGGTCCTCCGCATGCTGCCTCAGCACCCGGCTCAGGCCCTCTGTCTGGCTGGTGAGCTCTGTCCAGGACTGCAGTGGGGAGGGGCAGGCAAGGCAGGGAGTGGGGAACCTCGCTTGTGAGGTGGGTGTGCCAAATCTCCAGCCCTCCCCAGCGGGGGGCTCCAGGAAATGGAAGGGGCAGGCGGACCTACCCAAGCACCCACAGGAATTTGCTGATGGAGGGCGGGGAGAGGGGGGAGTCTAGAGTCCCACCTGACTGATGGGGCTGTGGGGGCCGATGCCCCGGCTCTGGCCCCCGCTGTCCTGCAGGGACATGTGGTGAAGCAGCCCGGCATATTCCCTGTCACTCTTGACCCGCTGGGCCATCCACTTCCTCATGCCCTCCAGCAGCCGGAGCTCTGCCTCCTGCATCTGCTGCACGGCCCCGTGGCCCTGGGGGCTGCACAGCTCCGAAGAGAAGCCCATAGTGTCGTCCTGGGGATGGAGAGAGGAGAGGCCACCACTGGGGGCGAGTAGCTGGAGATGGACAGAGGGGCGGGACAGGGAGGTGAGGGGCTGAAGAGCCACAGATAGGCAGAAGGTGGACGCCTGTCCCCCTGGAATTCAGCGATGGGTACAAAACACCTTCCCGCCACCCCTGCTCCACCCTGTCCCATGTCCCTCTCTCTGATCGCCCGCCAGGCCCCTGCCCAACCGCCTCCCGGGTTGGCCGTCGCCTCCCGGGCCTCGGTACAGGCATTACCGGTGTGGGCAGCTGCTCCTGGGCCGCTGAGGACCGACTTACACTCAGGCCCCACACCGCCCCGGCCAGTTCCTGATTCCGCGCTTCCTCCTCCTGTGGTTTCAGTTGGCCCAGGCCCCGGGGCGGGCCGGCTGAGGGGAAGGGGCGGGCAGGAGCCCCGACGCCTGCCCGCCCCCCTTGCCCAGCGCCGGCCGCTGCCTCAGCTGCCGGCCACACGGGCCCGCGGAAACGGAAGGGAGGAGGGGGCTGGGAAAGAATGGCCCAGAAGAGAGCAGTTTGCCCCGGGCACTCCCCAGGGCCCAGACAGCGCCCCGGGGGGACAGCCCAAGGGTGCTTGGGGAGCGCTGGCACAGGGCAGGGCTGTAGGCTCTGCGGTGGGCCGAGAGAGCCTGGGGGCCCAGAACCTAAGGGCAGGCGGGCAACTTGAGCAGCACGCCAGGGACGCCCCAAAGAGGCAGGGGGAAGGCTAGTCCAGGCCTTTCCCACCCCACTGGATTCCCCAAGGAAGGCTCAGGCGCCAGCCTCTATTTGAATAAAATTTCCTAGTAAATATCCCGAGGAGAGGCCTACTTCTCAGGCACGGATCCTGGTGGAACTGGCCTGGCTCCTCTCCCCACCACAGGCAGAGGTTTCCTGTCCCAAGGGAGACCTGGGGCAGGCGAGGGGCCTGCGCCAGAGTGTGTGTGTCTGGGCCGCTGGGGTGGGGTGGGGTGGGGTGGAGGGTATGGCATTTCCAGTGTGGGACTCAGGTTCTCCCCAGCAAAGCCTATCTGGATTCAGTTAGGCTCCACCAGAGGCCTCAGCCCTACAGCTGGTGGCCTAGGTGCTTCAGCCAAGGGACACCCTGAGCAACTGGATCCTGGGCCATCGCTCTCCACCCAGCTGGAGGCAAGGCCTGTGGCGGAGGAAGTATGTGCTCAGTTGGTTCCACTCTGGGGCCTCATCTGTCCCACCCCTGGGGCTTGTCGCCAGCTACTGTCCCTTCCACACCCTCCTAAACCCCTAGGGAGATGGACTTTGGGCAGCTAGAGCAGGCAGGACATCATGTGGGCACATAACTCACCCCAGCCCTCACCCCCACCCCATCCTGGATGCAGCCCCACAGTCCTGGGAAGAATATCACACACTGGAGACCAGGTCTGGTTTGCATAGTCTGCACGTTTAATCACTTTAAAACCTCTAACATTATCTCGTGTCCATTAAATAGAACCAACAATGCTGGGCCTGTTTAAATTACAAGAAAAAAAAAAATCACTGTGCACCAACCCAGTATCTTACAAAACCAGCTGGGCTGGCCACGGGAGGGGGGGTGGGTGTGGGAAGAGGAGGGGGCACCTCTGGGCAGGTGGCTGGGTGCCAGGAGGGGCTGGGAGAGAGAAAGAAAGAAAAGGGAGCTCCCAAATGGGAGGGGACTGATTGTCCTAATGGAAGGGGTGCAAAAGGCACGTCAGAAGAGGGAGACTTGGGGGGCAGGACAGGTCAGTGCTTTCTCCACCAGGGCACAGTGTTGGAGGGGGCTCGGTGCCACTGCCTGCCCACCCCTGGCACTTGGAGAACCAGTGACCCGTGAGCCCTTGGCACGACGAGCCCCATCTCAAATGGACGACAGCCTGCCCCTTCCACCGTGATCCTCCTTCCCTAGGGCCCACTTGGCCTGGCCTGCCTCGTCAGTATCCGGGGCTCAGCTGCAGCCCACCCCCCACACCTCAGGCCCAGGGCAGCCGAGGGCAACAGCAGGGTGGACAGTGGGTGTGGGAGGGTGGATGGTCCAGCTGCTGCTACCCCCGTTAAAAATACAAAAAAAAAAAAAAATCAGCATCTAAAGTGAAATAATCACAAAGTGAAAATATATCCTCAAACAGCCCCTGAGATCCCCACAGGGGAAAGCAGCATCGGGTGGGAGGCGGGAGAGGCCGGCTGGGCCACCGTCCCTCCCCACCACCCACCCAGGGGCTCCAGGGCTGTGAGTGCCAACAGCCCAGAAAGCCCCGGGCTCAGAAAACAGGGACTCGGGCCCTGGCGGGAGGGGGGAGTGCTGGAGAGGGGAGGGTGGTCAGCACACCAGCCTGGGGCGGGGCCAGCCTCTCGAGGCAGGCAGCCCGCCCGCTGTAGTGGAGGTGGGCAGAGGGCCGAACATGGGCACACATGTGCGTGCCCCGGAAGCGCCTGCCCGGCCTTGGTCCCCGTCCTTCGCTCACTGCTTTTGCCTGAGGCTCACCAGAAATGCAGAACAGGGTCTGGACGCAGAAGCCCTTAGGGAGGTGGCAGCCTCCTTCCGATACCCCCTAGGCCAGTCTCCTGCTGCCTGGATGGGGCCCATTATTGCTTTAGAGGGACGGCGAGAGGCAGGGGCCGCAGCCCTGGTCAGGAATCCCGGGAGGGCCGCCCCTCTTCACCGGGCGCTCTGGCTGGGGCCTGGACCTTGGAAAGCTGCCCTAAAGGTTTCATTCCTTTCTCCACACGGAGGGCTGCTGCGGGTGGGGACAGGCTCTCCCCCTATCCCCCGACACCCAGCTGGCCCTGGGGTCCCATCTCAGGCCGCCAGGGGGCCCAAGGGTAGGGTGGGAAGCTGTTTCTGCCCCTCTTGCCTCCCGACTGGGGTCCAAACCCAGTCCCAAGATAAAAAAATACTTTGGTGAATTAAAAAGTGCCCAAGGAGGGGATGGGCTCGAAGGGGCGGGCAGTAGGCGCTCGTCAAAGGGCGCTCTGGTCTTTGATAAAGGCGGTCCTCTCGCCCCGGCCCTCGTCCTCCTCCGAGTCGGACGGGCACTCCTCCTGCCAGGCTTCGGGGGGCAGCCCCTTGTAGGAGATGAGGCCGCGGTCCATGGTGTATACTTTCACCCCTCGGAAGCTGAAGCCCGAGCGCAGCTGCAGGACCAGGAAGACGGTGACGAAGACCAGCACGATGAAGGCGCAACTGAGGCCGGCCACCACCTCGGGCAAGTGTGAGGGCAGCAGGTCTGCCCGCAGTCGCGGCTCCACCGCTACCTCCGCGGGCGGCGGCCCGGGGGGTGGCGGCGGCCGCGGGGGCGGCTGCTGTTGGGGCGACTCGCGGCTGCTCTGGCTCTGGCGCGAGCACTTCCGCTCCACGGGGTCCAGGGAGGCGTGGCTGGGGCAGCTGAGGCAGTCTGTGGGGGCGGGGCCCTGGCACGTGGCGCACGAGGTGTGGCAGGGCGTGCAGACGCTGGCCCGGATGATCTCCACGTCGTTCTCCGTGCTGTAGTGTGTGTCCAGGACTTGGGGAGCGAAGCCTGGGGGACAGTGCTGGACGCAGTTCTTCTGGTGCAGGGAGAAGCCTTCCTCGCACACTGCCCGGCAAGGGAGGGAGGGAAGGTGGGCGTCAGCCAGGCCGCCGAGGCTGCTGGGCCCTGAGCCCCAGGACCTGGGCAGCCCTGGACACAGTCACTGCTGTCCCCAGGAGCTCCCAGCCCCAGAACCCAACCCAGGGCCCCAGGATGTCCCTTCACATCCCCGTTCCTCCTTTAAGAGGGGCACCCTCTATCCCCCGAGTCTCAGGTCCCCAGCCCCCTTCAGCGCCCACGACTCACCCACACAGGCCTGGCCGGAAGTGAGGGTCTTGCAGCCGGCGCTCTCAGCGGGTGTGGGCGGCCCCTCAGCGGCCGTGCCGTACAGCACCAGGGTGAACTTGGTCAGCGTCCCTGTTGAGGGGCGTGGCAGAAGTCAGGAGGCACCGGCCGCATGCCTGCCCCCCACCCCCAGACCCCACCAGTTCTTCTCCTGGACCCCAGCCCGCAAGCATCCCCCAGTACCATAGTTGTTGGCTTCGCTGGTGTTTTCAATCTCTAAGACCCACTCGCCAGAGGGATCCTCATCCCAGGAATGGGTCGTCATGAAGGCCCAGTCGTTAAACCCATCTGCAGAGTAGTCGTGTGGCCTGGGGAGGAAGGTGCACCCGGCTGCCTGAAGCCTCTAGAGGGCCCCAGCCAGGGGGTGCCAAGCCCATAGCACACGGACCACACACTCTCCCCTGGTGCCACACCAACCCTGCCCGGCTGGAAAGGCCTGCTGGTTATTTCCCAGGAGGCAAAATATTCTCAGCTGGAACACTCTGGAAACATGCAAGGGAAAACTACATGCAGACTACACACGGGAAGGCACACAGATGTGGCATGTAATGGGCAGATGCAGGGACTCCTGCAATATGGGACAGTGCCATAGGACAAAAACCATCCCTCCCCAAAACGTCAATGTTTACCCCATGGAGAAGTATTCGTGGACCATCGGGGCTGTGTGAGTCAATGAATGAATGCGTGTGGACCCAAGGACAGGACAGGCTGGGTGGGAGAGAGGGCAAGTACCTGGCGGCCAGCAGGGTGGAGCGGGTGCCCATTGGGCTGATCAGGTGGATGGCAAGGTCACCACGGCGGTTGTAGGACAGGGTGAGCCGCGCCTGAGCATGCTCTAGCCGTGTGATGTGGCTGGGCTCCCCCAGGCAGGCGGTCACGGTCTTCCGCACCTCCAGCCGCTTCCCGATGTCCCTGCAAGGAGCACGTGATGGGCTGTTGGGCTGGGTGGGGGTGGGGGGGTGCAGCAGGCACCCCGGCGACCCTTGGGTCCAACCTGCCCCTCCTCCCAGCCAGGGTCCAGCCCTCACTTGGGCTCAGTGAGGATGTCGATGATGCATTTCCGCTGGGGGGCCACCGTCGTCCAGTTCTGGGCCAGAGCCACCATGGCGCCGGCGTCCAACAGCCCATAGCCGTACGAATGGCTCACTGTGGGGCAAGAGGGACGGGTCAGCTGGAGGGGGCGCAGAGTGGCCCCCCAGGACCCTCAATCCAGCCCAGGAAGCACGGTGCCCTCACCTTTGCGGCCCACACCGTTGGTGGCCCAGTCATTGGCGTTGAGGTGGGCTGGCTTTGAGGTCCGGACCACCAAGTGCTGCATGTCCCGCCAGGTGAGGTTCTTACTGCAAAGGAGGGACCGAAAGGCTCAGTCTCTTCGGAGAGACTCCAGCTGGAATCTGAGGGCTGCCCTGCAGCAGGCGCTGGGCGGGGACAGGCTCGCCCCTCGGTCCCCACCACTCACTTGGCCTCCAGGGTGAGAGCGATGATGCCTGCTGCCAGGGGGGCAGACGCAGAGGTGCCCGTGTGAGACTCTGTACACTTCTGCCGCAGATCAGTGGTCACCTACAGGAGGATGACGACGTCGGGCATGTGACATGGGGAGGACACCAGAGGGGCCACCTGGCTGCCCTCCCTCTGCCCACGGGCCCTGAGCAGCATAAATGGCGTGGGAAGCCAGGGCCAAGATGCCTCGTTCCCACTTGCTGCCTTGCTAACTCACTGCCAACAGGCCAATGCCTGGCTTTTTCTAGGTCTGTTTCCCAAAGAATAAGAGGGTTGAATTAAGGGTTGGAGATCACTGAGAGCAACACAGGGCTTCCCTCGTGGCTCAGTGGTATACAGAATCCGCCTGCCAATGCAGGAGACATGGGTTCAGTCCCTGGGTCGAGAAGATCCCACATGCCAGGAACAACCAAGCCTGTGCGCCACAAGTACTGAGCCCACATGCCCAAACTACTGAAGCCCAAGCACCCTAAAGCCCATGGCAACTAGAAAGTAGTCCCCGCGTGCCACAACTACAGAAAAGCCAGAGAAGCAACAGAGACCCAGCACAGCCAAAAACACATACATAAATGAAAGTGTAAGTCACTCAGTTGTATCCCAACTCTTTGCAACCCTATGGACTGTAGCCTGCCAGGCTCCTCTGTCCATGGCATTCTCCAGGCCAGAATGCTGGAGTGTGTTGCCATTCCCTTCTCCAGGGGATCTTCTCCACCCAGGGATCAAACTCATGTCTCCTGCATTGCAGGGAGATTCTTTACTGTCTGAGCCACCAGGGAAGCCCAAATAGATTGTTAAAACAAAAAATGAGTGTGATGCATGTTTTTAGGGAGAGTTTTATCAGGGGCTTCACCAGTGGCTCTGTGACCCTCAAGAATCTTAGAGAGGTCCCCTAGCTCCACACCATGATGCCTTCACCACCACCGCCCAGCCACATGTGGGTAGAAGGCAGATAGGGTCAGAAAGGCGGCCCCGGGCAGAGCCAGAAAGCGAGCAGCCCCATTTCCCCAGCCCCCTCCTGGGAAGAGACTCACAATCTGCTTCTCGTTCTGGTTGCCACTGCTGTAGGTGGTGGCCAGTGTGGACGAGCAGGCCTCACTGTACCAGGGCACGTTGCCGAACTGTGTGGCGCTGCTGATGGACAGCGTGTAGATGCTGTTGGTGTAGCCGTCACAATTGCAGCTGTCATGTTCCCGGCCCCCGTTCCCTGAGGCCCAGACAAAGATGGAGCCCAGACCCCCACGGCCCTGTGGACAGAGTGGGTTGGGGTCACACAAGAACAGGACTTGGGGGGAGGGCTGGTGGGAAGATGCTGCTTGAGACTAGGAAGGCTGGAGCATCCTTCTCCAGCGACTCTCTATCCAGCCCCTTCCCCCAGGGAGATCCCTGGTAGAGCTCTCTCATCTCTTTTTACACAAAAAGAGACCCAGTCCACTACCAAATTCCTCAGAGTGGCGATTCCAGACAGGGGTGCTGCATGCTATGCTTAGTCACTCAGCTGTGTGTGACTCCATGGACTGTCCCCTCTGTCCATGGGGATTCTCCAGGCAAGAATACTCAAGTGGGAGTTAAGGGCAATTAGCATTTACTTTTCTCTTCCTGTCCTCAACGTTTTAATAAACGTGCTTTGTATAAATTAAACACAAGAATAAATAAATAGAAACAGAAAAACACAAAGAAGAAAGCATGGCAAAGACAGTGCCTACTTTGCCCCCTGAGGCTGGGCCTGGTTTCCAGGGCTGGGCCAGGACCCCCACCTCACCTGGCTGACCCCCCGGAAGAAGGCCTCCTCAGCCAGGTGGGCTGGCCCATCCACGGTCTTGCCGTCGTCCTCAGGGCCCCAGCTGGCACTGTAGATGTGGATGTGGTTGGGGTTCAGGCCCAGTGAGCGTGCCTCCACCGCATCTGTCACTTCGCCGTCCAGCATGCGCACCCCTGGCCACGGAGGGGGGCACGGAGAAAGAGGCTGCGTGGGTCCAGCCATCAGGGGCACCCCCAGGAGCATACCCAGCCCTGCACCCAGAGGGGAGGACAGAGGCTGGTGCTGGGAAACCCTGAGCCCCTGGCTTCTTGGGTGACCTCTGCCTTTTGAAGACAAGACCCAGGGGAAAGGGGAGATCTCTCCAGCCCTCAACCACACATTCTGGACTGGGACAAGTCTCTGGGGTCTCAAAGGAGCATGGAGCTCAAGGCCCTTCAGAGTGGAAGGTGAGGTTTTAGGGTAACTCCCGCTAAGAAACGATCCCCCCGGGACTTCCCTGGTGGTCCAGTGGTTCAGAACGCGCCTTGTAATGCAGGGGACATGGGTTTGATCACTGGTCGGGGAACTAAGATCCCACATGCCACAGCACAACTAGGCCCGTGCACCAGAACTATTGGGCCAGCACACCACAGCTAGAGCCTGTGTGCTGCAGGAAACATCCTATGTGCCACAACCAAGACTTGATGCAGTCAAATAAATATTAAAAACAAATAAACACTCCTCCCGCCCTGCAGCACAGGGCCACCAGCAGAAGGTGATGCATTCAGCTCTTTGAGCTGTGACTCTTTGTGGCCCTGTGGCCCTCCCAGGCTCCTCTGTCCATGGGATTCTTCAGGCGAGAATACTGGAGTGGCTTGCCATGCCCTCCTCTGGGGGGGCGGGGGTGGTCTTCCCCACCCAGGGATCGAACTGGAGTCTCCTACATCCTCTGCGTTGGCAGGCAGATTCTTTACCCACTGAGCCACCTGGGAAGCCCTCTAAGTTGCTAAGAACCCTCTACAGAAGAGCCATGTGGTCAGAAGGATGCACAGCAAGGAAGTGAGGGACACTGATTGGATGGGGAGTGAATAAAGAAGAATCCCACCAGAAAGGGTGGTCCTGAAGACAGGGTGGCCGAGGCCCACACCCACCTCCAATGCGGGCGTTGTAGGCCACACCTACGCCACAGACACCATTGTTGGCCACCGCCGCCACCTCTCCCGCACACCGCGTGCCATGCCTGCCGGGGTCAAGAGCACAGCGTTAGCAGTGGACGGAGCATGGCGGGGCGGCCTGCGGAGCAGGAGGGGCCACACACCCCTCCACTTTAGCCTGCTGTCCCACCTCTGTACAGACACCCCCCGCCACACACACACAGACGCTCTCCACTCTGACCAGACCCTCCCTCAGCGCCCCAGCCAGACCAGGACTGTGGAAAAGACTTCAACCTCCTGGACGGGGCTCATCTGCTTCCTTGGTGGAAATGAGAAGGGAGACAGAGGCCAGGGACAGGTTCTTACCTGTTGTCATTCATCTGCGTGTACCGGGGCTGGGGGTCAGGGTCCTGATCATTGACATCGAAGCTAGCCCCAGGATCCTGGAAGGGAGGTGGTCATCATAAGGTCAGCCTGGACACTCCAGCAGAGCAGGACCGTCCCTGGACTCCCCTCCCTGCCTCCTCACATAATTGCCTGCCAAGTCTGGGTGGTTCTTCTCGATGCCGTCATCCAGGATGGAGACCACGATGCCGCGCCCTGTGTAGCCCTGGGCCCAGGCCTCCTTCACATTCAGGTCCCGCTGGGTGATGCCAGACTGCAGAGACACCCACCCCCATCACCCAGCGCTTAGGAGACGAGGTTGGTTGCTGGATGAGGTCCCTTTGCCGCTCCACAAGCCCCTTCTCCACCCTCCCCTGCTCCTGAGATGCCACCACTGGGCTCCGTGGAATTATCAAGAACTCTGGGAGGGCACTCCGCAAGGCTTAGCAAGATGGGCAAGAAAGAGCCAAGAAGCAGACAGAGGCAGACCGACAGGAAGCCTGAGGGTCAGCCCTGCCTGCACATGGGACCCCTGAGTAGAGAGATGGATGGATGGAGGCAGCCGGGGAGGCCACGTACCAGGTACCACTGCTGGGGAAACTTGGGGTCCGTGGGCTCCTGGTATATGTCCCGTTTGGCCCGTCGCTTTGCCACCTGCTGCTCCAGCCACTTAACCTGTGAAGCAGTGAGGGGGAGACGGTGTAGGAGGGGGAGGAGGGAAAGAAAGCGGGCCTCCGGAGAACCGGAGAATGGAAAGGGAAGGCTGGCAGTGGGAGGGGCCGGGGCCGCACTCACTTGAGGTTCCCGCTGCAGCCGGCTGTGCCGCAGGCGGTGAGGAGACAGGGACCGCTTTGTCACCGCTCGATGCCAGAAGTGGTAATAGTCACCGAAGATCTGTAACAAAGCAGGGAGACTGAGCTGGGCTTTCCATCTGTCAGTCCCTGGAGAGGCGAGGGGGCGGGGGTGGACAACCAGTTGCAAGGGGAGACTCAGGATGGCAGGCTGGGTGGTGGGCATCTGCTTCCTGCCCAGGACCCAGCAAGAAGGTGCAGGTGAGGCTGAGGGGGCCTCACCCACCCCCACTCCCTGGGACACACCAGTCCACTGAGCAACCTAAGCTAGAAGCCCAAGGGCAGGACAAGCCTCCGCTCTCCCCACTGGCCACCCAGGTGGCCCAGAGAAGACAAGCCCCTGAGTTCCCGCGCCAGGTGCTGGCACCCCTGCCCCCACGGGCCCACCCCTAGGTGATGTCCTGCGCCGAGGCCAGCCAGAGGGAGCAACACCTACCTGGCCCAGGTTGAGGAAGCCATGCTTGCGTGCCACGTGGTCAGCGACGGCTGGGCCTCCAGGAATGTGCACAGCCCAGGTGTTGGTGAAGACCTTCTCTCCGTGGGCATCGGCCACCAGCAGGACCAAGGCTCCCGCTGCTGCTACCACCCAGAACAACCAGGGCCTCAGCTCCATGGGGGGGGACAGGTGGCCGGGACCCCGGAGCCCCCGTCTCCTTGGCCTGGTCACAGGGCCTGGGCTCCGGCGTACCTGCTCACTGCTTGTGGCCCGGGGCTGACTGGTGGGGGCATGGGGCCGAGATGGGCAGGGCTGTGCAGGGAGGAGGCAGGCTGCCGGCTCTGAGGGAAGCAAGGGAGGGAAAGGCGGAGAGTCAGTCCCTCTCTGGGCACGCACTAAAGCTGCCTTCCCACCCCTCAGCTCACTCCAGGCCTGAAAGGGCCTCTAGGGGGTGAGGGGTGAAAACCTGGTCCCCTAACAGCCAGATAGATGGAGCGATGGACCTATTCCACACACAGGAATACGGAAGAGGGAAGATGAGGGTGAAGGCTTGAGTCACTCCAAACCAGAAGCAACAACTAAATAAATGCTTCCTAGAATCTAAGTCCAAAAGGTGGGGTATAAAGCAGCAGGTACCCACAATCCCATTTTTGTTTTGAAAGAAACTATTTATACACATACACGTATATTTATATAAAACCACAGGACGTAATCTGGAAGGACACATGCTGACAACGGTTTTCTCAAGACGGTGATAATTACGAGTAACGGTTATTTTCTTCTTCGTGTCGCTGTATGTTTTCCAAATGACTCAGGTATATTTTGTAAAAGGGTAAAATGTGGACTTTTAAAGTGTTTTAATGGGCGGCACCTACACAGCTCACTAGGGCTTCCTGGTTCAGACCCAGCCATGGGGAGTTACCTGCAAAGACTCATAGCCTCTGGCAAGAAAGAGGGGGCCACCTAAGATGGGGTGTGGGCTCTGGGGGCTGAGCAAGGGAAAGGGGGATTGCAGTGGCTTCACCCTCCCTCTATGGCCCAGGCCATCAGCAAAGTCAGGGGGCCCAGGCTCTCTTTTTACACAGTTTCCTGGGAGACGACAGGGCCACCCAGTCCTGGCCTGGAGGCCTGCAGTAGCCCCTTTTGGTGGCTCCACGCCCACCAGCCTTGCGTCATCTGAGCCCAGGCAGCCAGGGCAAACACTGCTGCTGAGCCAGGAGCGCTAAGGTGAGGCTGAATCAATAGTCCGCGTGTTGTTTTTCCTCCTTCAGCAAACAGAGAGCGGGACCTCTCCGCCTGGGGCCACATAACTGTCCCCACATAGGGCCCCTGGCTAGCCAGAAGCCTAACCCCTAGGGTGGGGAGAAGCTGGGGAAGGTCCTGGAGGTGTCCCGCCTCAACACCAAGCTTGTTAAGCCTGCCCACACGGCCCTGGTTGCCCCCACCCCTCCTGGGCCCAGCCCCACAGGACGTCACTCTGCTGGACAGCAAAGTGAAGCTCTGCAGCCCATCCAGGCCCTGGGGAGGCGGACCAGAGGGCTCACCACTGGGAAAACTCACGTTGCCCGGGGCTGCCCTCAGCACCCCCAGCCTCCCTGCCCGCTCCTCCTGTACTCCCACCCTGCAGGCTGGAGAGCTTCAACTCACAATTCCTGGAGTATTTTCAGTTTACACCAAAATAACCTGACAGCTGATGGCAGGAGGCACCCACAAGGCAGCTCCTCCTCACCCCCAATGGGCAGAGTCCATAGGGTTCCCAGACGGGCCGGGAAGCCACTGCCCCATGATGCCTTGGGCGACCAAGTTCCAGAGAGCTGGTCTGAGCAAAGGCTGGGCTGCCCTTGGGAAGGGTGAGGGTTGGAGGCGGGGGTTGAAGGGGCCCTGTGCCCCTCACTCACCAGAGGATGTAGAGCCCTAGAGGCAGGGCCTTATAGAAACAAGTTCTCATCTCCCCTCCCTGACACCAGAACTGCCTCTTGGGTTCAGACGTCAAGCAAGGCCATCTCCTAACCACAGTGCTGTGAGCCACACTGTACCCCTCCACACACACACATCAAGACCAGGTTCATCTGGGTCTAGCCCAAGTTCTGGCATATTGTGGGTGGAATCGCAGCTGCTTGGTGATAAAGGTGATTATTTAATTACCTTGCAGCACCCGAAAAGGAAGCGGGCTTCAGGCACAACCAAACAATCCTTCAAGAAAGGACTGGCCTCCATCTGCTCAGCATCCCCAGACACACTGAGCCGTGGATATGACCGCTTGAAGCCGTCTCTCTTCCACAGAGCTTGAAGCCCCAAACAGCCCTGCCTCAGCATCCTGGAAGCAGGGAGGATGGCCCCCACCTCAAAGAACAGGCGCTGAGAACAATAAATGAATGGGCTGCTTCTCCCCACCCCCATCCTAGATTCTGACTCACCCTCTGAGTCCCTGTTTGGCTTAAACCGGTATGCTTGCCATATTTCCAGCCTCCTGTGAAGCCCTCTATGGGGCTCTACTCCAGGCCTGGCCACAGAGACCTGTGGGTGCTCTTCCTGGCTGTGATGTCTTCTCCCGCCCCAGGAACCTCCTGACGCAGCCAGCCTCTCCAAGGCATCCGCACTGAACCTCACCCAGGTCCGGCTGCTGTTTCCCAGGCATCGGGGGGTCTGGCGTGGTCAGGGCTGCCTGGGAAGTCTGGTTCCTTCTTTCCAGCAGAGACACCAAACCAGCTCCTGTAGCAGGCACTGATGGCTCCCCTGAAATTCTGAATCCCAGCCTTTGCTCAATTACTCATTTGCTGTGTGATCTTAGGTCACTTCCTCTCTCTGTCTGGGCCTCAGTTTTCCTAGGTGGTAAAAACTGCTAGACCAGAGGTTTTCAAACTTTTTGAAAGCCACAGAATCCTCTTTTAAAAAAAAAAAAAAAGAAAAGAAAAAAATCAAATCTTACGTGGAAGCCCAATATAGGACATCAACTTGGGCGGCTCTAGAACAGGAGTCAAGCTTGGCTCCTCTCCTTGGCTGTCTCCACACCTGGCCAGCGGCTGCCCAGCCCTCACTAGGCCACATCACCTGGGTTTCCCTCCCATTTCCCGAGGCAGAAAGAATTTCGACACCCTCCTGGGGAGGAGGGTCTGCATCTCGGGGGGTAAGGGGTGAGCGGACGGCGGGAAGGAGGCACTGACCTGACAACCGACTGCTGTTAAGACCTGTCTGGCAAGCAGGCCACCCCACGGGGGCAGCAAGGGCCTCGGCCAGGCCTTCGCGGGAGCCAGCCTCCCCGCGCCCGCAGAGCCCGCACCTGAGTGTCTCGCCGCCCAGGTGTGCGGGCGGGGACGAGGCCCAGGCTGTGAATAATCCCCTCCGCCGCGAGCAGCCGCTCCGCCCCTCCCCCGGCGGGAGCGCAGGCCCTCCCCAGCCACGGAGTGGGCGAGCCGGCGGCGGCTGCCCCCAAGGACGACGGGGAGGCGGGAGCACCCGGCGCCTCTGGAATCCTCTCCCCATCCCGCCCCCGGCGGGGGCCCCCGCGGGCGCTTCCTGGGGTCAGAGGGCTCGCTCCGGCCTCAAGCGGAAGAGCACCGGCACCCGCGGGGCCCGGCGCGCTCAGGTGGGCTGCGGGATGCCCTTCCTGCTCCCCGCGGCTCCACCTTCCGCACCGGCCCGCGGGCCAGTTCCGAAAGCCGGGCGGGCATCTGGGCCCGGGCTGCCTCTGCGCCAGCGACCCCGACCCTCCCCCGGCCTGGGCGCTCGAGCCGCGGAGCCCGCTCCTCCGGCAGAGCGGCCCAGTCTCCTCGGGCCCGGCTCCCGGCGCGCTGCCTCCCCCCGGGGCCCCGCGCCCTCGCTGCTTACCCTAGGGAGCCCGGGCGGGGAAACTTTTCCAGGCGAGCGCCGGGGCGGCTCAGGCGCCCCTCGGCCGAGCGGAGAGCCCGGCTCCTGGGGGCCTGGGCTAGGCGCGGTCCCCGCGCCCGGCATCCCGAGGCCTTCCGGGGCGCCTGCCGCCTCGGGCTCCAGCTCGGGGCAGAGGTAGGAAGTGGGGCGGCGATCCCAGAGCCCTCGCAGCCGCTCGGCGGGTCCCCCAGGCCCCACTGCCAGCGCCCCCGCCCCCCCGGGCTCGGCTGTTAGCCCCGCGATCTCCCTGGGCCGGCGGGCGAGGAGACCTGAACTCGGCACCCCGGGCAGAGGTTGGGAAGGACTCGAGGCGTCACTCTGAGCCCAGTCTCGGCCGGATTCTGGGGGAGTTGGACTTCTCCCCCACCCCCCGCCACTTCCCTACTCCTAAGCCACGAGTTTGGGCACGACCGGGTTAAGTGCCCTGGGATGACGCACCTGGAGTACCCCCCTTGAGGTCGGGCTTCACCGCGTCTGGGCAGACTTCCTCGTGGCCTACAGTTAGAAGACTCACGACTTTATTTGCATTTATATAGACAGGTGGATGAGCAGAACAACTAGCCCATCCCCTTTTAATTTTTTTAAACCTTTTTTTTTTTCAACTCCAACTGCCTGCCAGGCACCAGGTCAATCACTTTATATTATCTCCTTCTTATGTACATTATTTAATCCGCATAATCCTTTCATGCTGACATCATCAATCCCATTTTACAGATAAGAAAACTGAGGCGCACAAGGTTTAAATAATTTGCTGAAGGTCCCACAACTAACAGGCCTCAGATCCCAGAAGAGATCTGGGGCTTTGGCAGAGCCTGAATCTGAGCTCCTTGCAATATACCACCCGGCTTCTCTCCCTCCCTGGGTTCCTGCCCTAGAAAACGTCTGTGCTACTTGGCTGAGGCCATCACTGCTTGAGCTGAGAAAGAAAAGAGGGGAAGTGTGGCCAAGAGCTCCACAGGCTGGGTTATTTCAAGGTCACAAAGCAGTCTCTGCCCATCCCTTCCTGCCCCCTTTGAGATAACCTGGCAGAACAGTGTTATCCTGTGACCTCTTCAGTACAGGTTTGGGGATGATGAGGAAAACGGATCAGGATGTTCTGAGCTCTTTCCCATGTGTTAACTTGCCCCATGCTTACCATGGATCCTGCAAGGTGGATACAGTTTTCCTTTAGGCAGCTTTCGTGTATCACTATCTGCACTTTACACAGGAGGAAACTGAGGCCCAGAGAAGTTAGTAGCATTTGTAAAGTAACTAACTAGGTGACAGTCAACCCCCAAACCTGAGTTCAAGTTGCAGTGGCACTATTTTAAACTGTGCCAACCTTAGACAATGATTTGAGCAAACTCCCGGAGATAGTAGGGAGATAGAATAGGAAATGGCAACCTACTCCAGTATTCTTGCCTGGGAAACTCGACGGACAAAGGAGCCTGGTGGGCTACAGTCCACGGGGTCGCAAATAGTCAGACATGACTGAGTGAGTAACGCTTTTACTTTACGGGAGATAATGTAGTTCAGAGGAACCTGGCATACTGCAGTTCATGGGATCGAAGAGTCGGACTTGGCTTAGCAACTGAACAACAATGACAACACCTTAATTCTCAGAGCCTCAATTTATCCCTCTGTAAAATGGGGATAATTTTGAACCAGAGAGATAACATACTATTTGGGTACCTAGATGAACAGCACAAAAACCAGAAACTTGGGGAAGAATCTGGAGTCCTAATATTTGAGCAGGGAGGTGAGTCAGGTTGGTCCTCTTTCTGAGTGGGAACTGTTCTCCCCACCACAATCACCAGGGAGCAAAGACTCTTCGGGGCCACCCCGGGGTAGCCCCAACCAGCAGCCCCAGCTGCAGTAGGGAAAACAATGCTTCTGCAGTCAGACCTAGGCAGGAAGTGAGTCACGGTTCTTCCCAAGTCTGTGAGCAAGACAACCCTGTTGAGGGGAAACAGGGACTCGGCTGGCCCCACCTCGCCTCTGAGTCCCTCTGTGCCCTTCCCGGTTGTCCCCTGGCCTACAAGAAAAGTCAGCCCGGAAAGAAAGCAGGGCTGTCTGCTTCTCAGTGCCCCGCCCGTCCTGGAGGCTGGCCCAGGGAAGCTGCAGTGGGCCTAAGGAGGAGGAAGGGGCACTGAAACGTCCCAGTTTCTCCCACCAACCTGCGCCGCCAATGCTGCCTTTGGCATAAGGAGAATTCTTTTTTTTTTTTTTTTGAGAATTCTTTAAACTTTTGTTCAGAGGGGCATCTCTGAGGGGAGAAGAGGACTGAGAGCTTATCACAGGGCATCCCCACCTTAGTCTCGCTCCTATTTTAGGGTTGTATTTTACAGCAATTCGGTTGTTAAAAAAGAATTGGGGAGGGACTTCCCTGGTGGGTCCAGTGGTTCAGACTCTGTGCTTCCACTGCAGGGGATGTAGGTTCAATCCCTGGTCAGGGAACTTAAGATGTCCTGCAAGCTGCTCAGCCAGACCAAAAAAAAAAAAAGAATGGAAGCCACTCCCCTTGAGAAAAACCTTCTGGAGAGAATCCCGCCTTGCCACAGCTGGTGACTGCTAGTCAACTTCTTCCTTCATCTCCTGGAGCAAGTCCTAAAGGCAGGTTTTGTTCTCTTTATCACTCCCAAGAATTTATATGAGGCTTAAGGCCTGAAGGAGCTAAACTGCTTGCCCAGACCCCCTGACTTGGGGCCTCAGTAAGCTCACGGGCCTCTGGACAAAAGTTATCAGTT